ACCTGTGCTTTATGCCATTCTGATGCACGACTTGCAGATTGAGAGTTACTTGTCTGGGTGGCGATGGCGCCTTTATAAGTCCGATCGCCCCTGCCTGTTCGCAGAAGCATTGATGCGACTGGGGACGGATCCTAATTGGAACATGAGCTACTTCACGTGGTGCTGATGACTTCTTGTAGATTAAGGCGGCTTCTTCATCAGCATAAAGGAACACTTTCTGAAACGCAAAGAGACCATACTTCTTCGATCAGTAAATGAAGCTGTTTTTCGTACATTGTGGTTGTATGTTGGAGACGTAGCAGGCAAAGAGCTATTTCCCTTCCTTAGAAAGTCCGGATAACCGCAGGGAGATATTGTATGCGCTGCCATTTGCAGTCCCCACATCTCTGGTGGAAATAATAAAGTGAAACGAACGTAAAACAAATAACGGAAAAACGAAGGAAATGAAATCATTAGCTTTGATCTCCCCACAACATATACTAAAAACCGCAATGACTCATCACATGCGACAGTGGGTAACGGTACTTCTGGGAGCCCACCAGCGTCAGGACAAATGGTCGTCCAAAACTGGGGCTGGTCGGACCCCCCGGCCGGACATGCCATCAGGAACAGAGCAGAGCGCTGCCGCCCGGCTGACGGCAGCCGGCCGCCGGCGCGTCCGGCACAAAGGAGAAGGCGCCAGATTGACATGCGGAACCAATGATGTGACCGGGCCTCCGGCGGCCGAGGACGAGGCCTGGCCGCAGCCGACGGCACCGTGGAGCGGAGCTGTCAGGAGGGGCGAGAGGCTTGCGTACCGCTGCCGCGCAGCTCACAGAGTCACCGGCCACTCACCGTCCCACGTCTGGCTGGCGTGGCGCTCGACGCAGCTGCACTCAGCGGCTACAAGACCCAAGAACGAAGACTGTAGCCGATCAGGATAAGCCATGCTCAGGGAGCTGTCTTCATAACCGGCGCGCTGACACAGATGAACATGAGCCCTCGCTCAGACCACAACAGAACCCTCGAAGCGGGTAGCTGGGCCCACCGCCGGTGCCGGTCTGTCCCGGACCGGACCGAAGACCGCCGGCAGACCGGACCGCCGAGGCCAGACAATGGGGTCCGGCGCCTTCAGATGAGGCCGCCCCGCGACTAATCGGCCCAGACGCCTTCCATTCGAACGCTATCATTGTGGAGGAACGGTGCCGTTAGTTGAAGCACGGCGAATGCCTTATGGCCGCGTATGGTGTCAGCTGTCGCCTGACGCTGTTCCCAACGCACACGTGACTGGGAAGGTTTTTCCATTAAACAGTGCTCCCCTTTTGAGTAAGAAGTCGACACGCAGTCGTGACATGACTCTACTGTTTCGTGCATACATGCTATTTACACAATTGTGCCCATTACAGGCAAAATGTCCTTTTATGTGCATCACCACTTATGTGTCATTGTCATTAATGCTATAAATTTTTACCGCCTCTGCAATATTCATGCCTCACTCTTACTCGCATATGAATGATTTAACTTTATGTTTGTACCATGTACGTGTCTAGACGAGGCTGGTGTTTCAGCTGTACGTATCAGGTAGCCATTTAAGCCCGTATCACGTTAGAATTGTTCGGCAGCGATGTAACTTGGTACCAAATTGGGTGATTTGGATATAAGAAATGGCCTAGCGAACAGATCTGAGTGCGGAGCGTAAGAAACTGTCCGGATGTACAGAGGCTCCGGCGTCGGCGTCTTGGTAAGACAAGCGAAAACAAAGAATATATGAATATATATATATATATATATATATATGTATATATATAGAAAGAGAGAGAGAGAGAGAGATATATATATATATATATATATATATATATATGCATTTATATAGATGAATAAACGGTGATTTATATGGCGACTCAAAAAAATTGAAATGCAAGTCAAAATAGTAGCTGCGTTGCTCAACCCGGCACCAGTGATAAAGAACCCGCTTGCATCCAAATTATGCGCACTTACATCCTCTACACAACTTATAAACTGAACTGAACAGAAACACTGATTGTTACCTATGCACGGCACAGACACACACGGGTCTCAGAAAAACCTGAGACACGATAAACTTCTTTGTCGCAAACAGCAAACGGCCGGTTTATCGCGACAACCCTAAGTTTGCTTTCATTGTTCAGCTGTTTGCTGCTCTCCTGAACCGTGCCTGCTCAAGGTCTTTATCTCTGTCCGGAGAAGGTTTATGTTGAAAAACGGCTTGAGACTCGACTGGTTTCTGTTCCCAAAAGCTCTGGCTCCTGTCGGTTATGTTGACCTAATTGAGTGGCATGTCCTTAGGGCAAGTCCACCTGCGCTTTGCGATGGCTGACTTTCCAAGATGGCCCTTTAGGATCGCATTGGGGTGCTTGGCAATCCTAGTGGGAAGCGGCTATCTGTCCCAGTCTTGATCCGAGATGGTCCGAAAACTGGTGGAGATATCTACGTGTTTTGCTCTCAATTAGACCCTGAAAACCCCAGAAAACATAGCGTTTTAAGCTTACAACTACTGATTTCAAACATGACTTAAACATCACATAACGTTTACTTGATGTAGCACGGTGTCGTTCACACGGCTAGATCGCGTGTGTGAGCGTGGACGAGTGCGAGTCCATGAGTTCATTCCACACGGCTGAATGACGTGTGTGACCGTGGACGAACAAGAGTTCAGAAACTCTCTTCAGACGAACGGATCACGTGTGTGGCCGTGGACGAGTACGCGTTCATGATCTCACTTTACACGGCTGGATCATGTGTGTGACCGTGGACGAGCACGAGTTCATAAACTCACTTCACACGGATGGGTCACGTATATGACCGTGGACGGGCACGACGAGATCATGAACTCATATATGCTTCTCACCCATCGAGCGTGCACCGGCTGCTCTCGGTGACTGCACATAACACGGCATATGTTGCTGCCAGTGGAAGAAACCCGAGCTGTGGCCTACGACGTGTTCAACCTGCGCTCAAAGCATTAGGAAAAATTAATCTGTTGACCTCCCGTAAGGCAAGGAAAAAAGCAAGGCTACCTGACGCGAAGTTAGTAGAATCTTAAATACCGATATAAAGGATATCCAGTCACAAGTGGTTATACAGGCCTCGCTTTGAAACTAGATTTTGGACAGAAAGGCCCACTAAAAAGTCAACGTATTCGCGTTAATACAGAAAGCGTTTGGACGAATTTTGCAACGTCTAGGATTTAGCATATTGGGATGCAGTGCTGTTACCTTTTTAACAAAATGTATGATAATGGTGGACGTCTCTATCATGGTCATGTTTTATTCGACTTCCACTAAATCCTTCGATAGTTAAGCATATGTTTTTAGGGACTTAAGCTATTATTTGCTGCACCGTTGATGCAAGTTTTTGCTCATGTTTTTGCTTTAATCCAATACCCTTTCCTAACGAGGCCTTCGCACATGTCTTTTTCCTTTAAATACACAAATCTGATAGAGCCTCCATGTACATCAATTGATCAGCTGGACAGCATGACGTCTTTGTACAACAGTGATGGACAATCGTGGTTTCGTAATCGAGTGTGAGCTGACATTTTAAGGCTTGAAGACAAACAACATCGTCTCCGTCGGTGAAGACCACCTTGTTTTCCGCCGGATCTGTATCCCCATCACGGCAGACAAACCGCGTCCCCGTTTTGATCAAAGCAATGATTTGAGCGGGTGCAGTTGAGTAATCTGCAGGACGGCTTAACCGACCGCATGGCCAGCACATGTAAGTCCCCGTAAGCCCTCCAAACGTGGGCGGATCATTTCTGGAGACGGAGGTGCGTTGGATCCAGCTGTGGCCCATGGCCAAGGCCATATTGGGAGACGAAACGACGCGACATCTGTGTACAATGCGGCGGGTTTTCTGGGAAACGAAGTCAGGCAAACGACGATATCCCGGATCTAAATCCAATAGTTTTTGCGCCGCGTTCGAGCTATCAAATTACCCACCATTTGGTGAGCTCCGCACCTGTGTTCGAATACGATCAAAAACAGGAACGGGAATGGAGAGAGACAACGCCGCGATCACATTTTTGGAGATATTTAAGACAAGCCCTGTGCCGCTGCATTCCCAAGATGACTTGCAGCTTATCCTGCCTCCAAACTTCTTGGAAACTTTTTTCATATCTGTCTCATACGGGAACGCTCTCATTGTGTTCGGATGTTGTAGCAAAGTGCATGTGCGAGAAACGACCGTGCCAGATGCGTGTAAGAAACATCACGACAGACCCTGTGAAATACCTTCGGTGCATAACACGCGCAGCTGGACGCACTGGGTTAGGCAGATACTTACTTGGATCCAATTTGCTACCTAGTTGGATCCAATTGGCACAACCCTTCGTAAAGTATATGCGATGCAATGTTGAGCTTAATGCACGATGGGATGTTCCACAGGGTGTCACTTTATCCTGTGACGTCATTTTCGCAAAGCACTCTTTCGTTTTATCTAGGCTAAGGTCTTTGCACTGAAATGGCCGTGTGAAATGCTCGGCAAGAAAATGCAGAATTGCAGCCTTTTAACAGCACAATCATCCCCATTGTCACGTCTTGTCCGAAACGCGTGTCGATTAGTCACAGCTGATGCGCTCACAAAGGCCAAAGTCGGTTACAATCAGCAGCCGGCACGCAACACAAACAGCCTGCTGCGCCCCACCCCTTCCTGATCTCCGGCCCGTCGAGGGCGGCGGAAGAAAGGCAAACATTTGATCATCACAGGAATGCGCGCCGCGCGGTCTGCCCAATCCATGCGATTGTGCGCGCCACCATTTATCAGCTGGGCAGGTAATGGCGGGCTTTAATCGGGTCCATTGTGCACCTCTGACTGGTCTGCTCGCGTCCGGAGATGCCGCGCCGCCTCCAGAGACCACCTCCTCCGCCAGCGGGCCGGCGTGAGAGTCTCTGTAGTTCGGCGAGCGGCCGCCAGGGGCCCGGCGCGTGGCGGGCGGCGGCGCGGCGGCGCGCGGTCGGCAGTCCGGCTCGGTGGGTCGCAGGGGTGGGTGCGGGAGGAGGCGCGGCGGCAGCTCGCGCGCGCGGCTCACGCGTGGACCTCTGGCTCCGGCGTGGACCTCCAGAACAGCCGCTCGGCTGCGGGTGATGTGAGCTGCGTGGCCGTGCGTGGCAGCGGGCGGGGCTGAGACTTGCCGTTCGTGTCTATATCCGACGCACTCTGCGCTCGCAATTCACGATGCTGAAGACCGTCGCCGTTGCGCTGTCGGCGGCGGCCCTCTGCGGAGTCCTCTGCTCAGGTCAGTGGTCTGAAGAGGTCATCTGTCAGTGCGGAACCGTGTTTACGAACACATGTGTTGACTTGCTGGCCTAAAAAAACATCGATGCTTTTTATCACTCGACGCGTTCCAACGGTAGAATGGCAAATCGGTAATGATAGAGCAGTGAATTAGGTTACATGTGAATGCTTTCCGGCAATGAAAGGACTAGCATTGCAGGAGAGGAGGATATGTCGTAGTCACGGGCATGTACGTCTGGCTGGTCTTTCTTTAAAAACCGGGACCGGGAGCAGCTACCCCGCTTGGCTTCATGCATCACATATATAGCGGTAGTCACAGTGCATGAAATAAGACCGTGAGCAGTTCGCTAATTTGTGCCAGAATTTGGCGTAAAACGAATATCTGCAAAGGAATGGACAAATCTAGTGCAGTTAACATGCAAAGAGAAATTGAAAAGGCGGTGGACTCGGAACGAAATCGGAATTACTCAATTCATTTGAAGCAGAGCCTCAGATTTACTTGTGGTAGACCACATCATGTATGATGCATGAATTTAAGTTATCACGTAGAACAACTGAAGATAGGCACCGGGCGCGCCACATACAGGAGGCTGGGGGGCTTCTGCGTGCTGACGTAGTGGAGCCGTCACAAAACGCTGAGCACTGTGCCGCAGCACGATTAAGGATTGTCAGAAGTCTGCAACGTTAAAGTTCAATGATTTGTCCATTGAGGGCATATAATTGATCACTGGTGTCAATGATGTGATCAAGAGACAGCCATCCGCTAGTGTGCATTAAGCTTTGTGCGCTACAAGTTGTCGCGGTTAGTTTATTGCGGTTCGGCAGCTATGCATGTAGTTTATCTTGATTCATATGCATTTATTCACTGTACTGACATAAACCACGCTATCATCAAAATTTAATGCGTAATTTAACGCGCACATGCTCTTGCGTCGTGAGTAATGGTTCACTCGTCTCGATATTCATGATGTGAATGTCGTCTTCCCTAAAAGTTCTCTACGTTCCCTAAAATAAAGTAAAGCTCGGCTGACTCTGTTTAAACTCGTGGCTGTTGATACCATCTTACCACAAATTGCTACTTATGTGCTTAAAGCACAGTATGTACTCACGAGCACTTGAATCCACGGGTATCCCCAGTTTGATAAAACCCCCGACCATCATTTCGAACGTTACTGTTCGCCATGGAGTTGCCAAAAAAGACCCACGGACCCCATTATAAATCAGCTCGCATAGCCATGAGACGACACGCTGGCAGGGGTGCACAGCGTGCGCGTCTGCTCCAACGCTTGATCCCACTGCTTAAACCAGCTAAACACCATATGTATCACACATATTTCAGTCAAAATTAAATATGAGTTGCACGCTGTCTCTTCAGGTCCGACGCAACATGCGGCTTGAGTCGGATGGACACGTATGTTTGGCTTGGCACTGCGTGTATTTACGATGCCGCCCATAACCGTCCCGCGACGTAAAATCTCCAACGCAGATCAACTAATTTATTTTGCAGGAAATGTCATGTTTCGCATGCCGCACTTCGGGGTGATCTGACCATGGCTGCGCTCGTGGAAAACAGTTCGCGGAAGATTTCTGTCGGCCGTTTTGCAGTAAAACTGTGCCCCCCCCCCCCCACCCGGTCGATTTCAATAGTCTCACGACGTTAGTGCTGCTGCAAAAATTATTCTGACAGGAGTGCTACGCCATCATTTATGCGCAACATTACTTATACTGCAAACATTTATGCAGACTTTACTTATATGCAACATGACGCCTACTGCAAATGCTTATATACAACATGAATGCTACGCGACATAACTTGTGCTTCAGAAACTTACATACGTTACGACACCCACTGCGAAAGCTTGTACAATATTTACTTATATGCGACATTGCTTCTACAGCTGAAACTCACGCACGAGATGAGTGCTGCACGACAAAACTCATACTCGTCATTACTTGTGCAGCAAATACTTAAACAGTCTTCAGTTCTGCGCGACATTGCACCTTTTACAACAACAAAAAAACATACACGACATGAATATTACACGACAAAGCTTATGCTCCAAAAACATGCCAGTCATAACTTTAAAAGTAAAGACCGCAAGTTTTCGATGGATGGAATGGATGAAGTCGCCTGAGGCTGTGGGCCGGTCTCCAGATCGGTGGCTGCCCCATCTGACGAGCATGCCTCAGATGAAGTCGCATGAGGCTGTGGGCCGGTCCCCAGATCGGTGACTGCCTCATATGACGAGCACGCCTCAGATGAAGTCGCATGAGGCCGTGGGCCGGTCCCCAGATCGGTGACTGCCTCATATGACGAGCATGCCTCAGATGAAGTCGCATGAGACTGTGGGCCGGTCCCCAGATCGGTGGCTGCCCCATCTGACGAGCGTGCCTCAGATAAAGTCGCATGAGGCTGTGGGCCGGTCTCCAGATCGGTGACTGCCCCATCTGACTAGCGTGCATTAGATCTGACCAGCGCCGCGCGTCTGCCGCTGTAATACCGTCTGGATCACAAAGCGGCGGTCGATACCAGGAAACGTCAGGGTCGAATGCTGAGCTGGAGTTTGAGCAAGACAGATATTCGACACTTCGACACTTCTTTCCAGTTGGAAAAAGATATCACTTTGTCTTCCAGGCAGCAGTCTCGCAGTGCAAGTACGTGTTATGGATGTCGTCAACATGCTTTGAACGCACCCATCTGGAAGGGCACCAGAGGTTTTCCAGAATTGGAGAGGGACGGAGAGCCACTTTTGGTAACTTCTTCGTAGCCAACGTCCGTAGAGCCAATGTGAAGCTGTCAGTAAGTCGGCAGGGAGCTCAGCTTCACGAATTTCTCCTCCCTCTTTCAAGTTCCGGTGCCCCTTCCTATACATATGGGCCACATTTCTCTCCCCCTCCCCCTCCCACGTTCCCGCATTCCTTCCCATACATATGGGCCACATTTCTTCCCCCTTCCTCTCCCAAGTTCCCGCATTCCTTCCCATACATATGGGCCACATTTCTCCCCCCTTCCTCTCCCAAGTTCCCGCATTCCTTCCCATACATATGGGCCACATTTCTCCCCCCCTTCCCCTCCCAAGTTCCCGCGCCCCTTCTCATACATATGGGCCACATTTCTTTCCCCCTTCCCCTCCCACGCTCCCGCGCCTCTTCCTATACATATGGGCCACATTTCTCTTCTGCTTTGTCACCTGCAGTCGCTAGGCCCTATGAACGACTGTCGAACGGCGTCATCGATTGAGCTTTGCAGCCAATAAAGAACTGATGCTAATTCCTGGGATACAACGATGCCATTCCTAGGCGCCGAATCGATGGCGCTGCTTAAAGGCTTTAGCCGCCTTTGACATCGCACTAGCGAAAGGGAGAGGCTGAAATTGGTGTCCCGCGACCTCGCGCCTGTTCGACGCGGACGGCCTCATTCTGAACCATCTTACCGAGACGTGTCGGAATCTCATCACCACTTCGTGCTGTCGGGCATGTTTGAGCGCGCCGTGATCGCCAAACCTCCTACTGTGCGTCGCGCCGTGCGCGTGGCGCGCGTGACGAGCGCACCTGGTCAGCGCTTAGTTGAGGCCTTGTCTGGATCACTGCGTGCGGAGTTCGTTTGGTTGCAGTGAGTTCCGGTTGTACCTGGCATAATCCCAGCCAGCTGCGCGCCGGTGGGCTAAATCCCGAAAGTAAGGGCCTGGCTGACGTGTGCCTGCCGCCTGGCACCATCTGACAGCTTGTGACGACACGGCTTCGCGCGGCGTGTCAATACGTTGGGCTCTCCAGTGGGCCCGAGCTGATCGTACGGCGGCTGCTGAGCCAGGCTTTGCATACTGCCGTCCCAGAAACGGCTCATCCAACAGCAAATAATATTTTTGGATGGTTTTGTCTTCACTCAAATGCCAAAACAAGTTATGGTGTCGAATAATATGCCTAGGTTTTTCCATCAGTTGATATTCCTATCTGTCTTTTGCATTCTTTAGTTGCCTCGTCCGGTATGATTTGTTTTCGTTGTGTTTTTGAAGAGGGCATACCTCCATTGAGAAGGTCAGGAGAACTGAGCGCGGCTTATTGTGCGCTTCGGCTTACACCAGCCTGGGTGTGCGCAAGTCAGGCCTTTTCCCACAATGTCCAAATCGTGATGCGTTTGCTAGCACCTTTACACGCGATCATTTCTGAGACACGCGCGTTTCCGCCCCAAGTTTGACTTCATTTTTGTCGGCGACTCGCAGATGACTCGATTTGACAAAAGTGAAAAAATGAGCAAGGCACACAGTGGTGCTCTTCGCGGTACTTCCGGGTTGAGTGTCCTCGGGTTCCTATTCAGCGATGTGTGGCAGGAACCCAACGCTGTGAGATGGGGATGATACCATGACGGTAAGTGTAGTGAGCGACAAGATTACTTGACGATCGTGACTTGTTACTCTGCCTAGTCATCTGGGCGCGCTGAGAAGGATTGGCACAGCAGTGTGCATGAAAACAATTACATTTACTACGATCAGACGCCTGTTTACTCCGAAACCAGCTGCAGTTTAGCTGCTACCTGGAGTCAACTTCGAGCGCACGCCGAGAAGAAGGGGCGAAATGGAGGGAGGACGAAAACGCACGGCGCTTTTCGCATGTCTTACTGTCCGCCTACTACCAAACCTTACGTCACAACATCCTCACCCGAATAGTTGCCATCGGCAGTTTCCAGGCAAAATCGGAGTCCATAAGTCCGGGTAATGTGACGGATGCAAGTTGGGAATCAAGCCTATTTAGCATAACCTCAGGTCCTCCGCTCGGGTAAATAGGTTCTCAAACGAAAAAGAAACCTTGTCAAGCATGAGCTTGTTAGCTTCGTGCATAATCAAACTGGACATGAAGCTTGCAGCCATAGGTCATGAATGGGATCCATCCATAAATCACGCGAAAGTGGTCATCAAAATATTTCTGCTACAAGGGAGATTACTTCGTGGCGAATCCTAGGTATAGCAGCTCCGCGTCATTTCCGTATAAGATCAGCATGCGGCC